ATAAAATGTTTGTTAAACTGACCAAGCTTACATAGACTGGATATAACTACCAATTCAAGCTGTGTAGATCATTTATCTATTTTAGCCCCAAATGCTCCTGACAAACAGTACAGGATTGCCCCTGGTGACTATAGTTACACAAATGTAATCTACAATCTCAGTACATATATATATATTACAGATGATTTTAACAATGATTCAAGTAGCTGAATTCCTGAAACTGAACCAAAATGATGCTCCTTGTACTTTCCTATATTTATTAGGGCATATTATTAGGGCAAAGCATCGTGCCAAAGCAGTGGGTAGCACATGAGATGTGAGCCCACTGAGGTGGGATACAGGCCAGTCCTTCTGCAGGGACACAAACTGTGAATTTAATTATCCTGGTTTTGGATAAGGAAACAACTCAAGATGTCCTGGTATTCTGAGAATTTAAAAATGTACTATCAACTTTCAGATCCTGACCTCAGCTTACTCACCTGTCAGACGTACCCCAAGTGTCTCCCGACAGATCCCAGGCTTGAATTTTGTTCACAACCAGTACTCCCCTCTTATGCTTTATAGGACAGCACTTTGTATCCAGGTTAGCAAGGTCCTCACAAGTTGGGTTTTTTTCTAAGGAAAACGCGATGTTATCAAATAAGTACTCATTCAAGGCAGTCTTTACCCCCTCCTTTTTTGCCTCAGTTGGCATCAGCTCATACAGTGCCAGAAGGGAGTACGAAAGAGTATCTGGGAGATTCTTCAAGCTGTTCAGCCAGTTTCTGAAGCCCACGGAGTCATCAGCATTGAGGGCAAAATCCCCTGACCAATCATTGCCTCCTATCACCTCAGTGTGGTGTTGATGGAGACCAGCACCATACCTAGTAGTGTAATCCTGGTTTTGTAGGACCTTCATACAAGACTGTTCAACACTATATAATTTTTCCTTCCCCAAGCCAACCGAAAATCCCTTCGATAAACAGGCGTGAACCTGAAAGAGAGAAACACAAATGCCATGCATATTTAATAGCTATATTTTGGTATTTTATTGCTGCTTTTCCTAAAATAATGGTTTTCTCCACCACTTATCATTGGCAGCTAGAAGAAGATTTTTGGTAAAATAGTAGATATTTAACTATAGACATAATAAATTTTACAATTCTTCAGTCAGGAAGCAATGCAGAAAATTAAAGACATTTATGTTTTGATCTGATCCAGTTTATCTTGTTTTATAGCAGAAGATGTTTTTTCCTTCATCATACTCAGCATGTTATATGACAGAATGCAGTATATTTTGTCTTGAAAAGATCATCTAACTGAAGGTCTAACTGATCTACTTATACTTTATTTAGAATAAGATTTTTTAATGAGGTTACTGAGGGCAAAGAACAATTACATACAGAACTAAAATCCATTATTATTGAGCTTGCATTGTTTTCAATGTGCACCACTATTCATAGTTGGATTTGTTGGATGTGAAATTCCACAATGATTAAATGTAATTTAAACAATTTAGTTTAATCATCGACTAGACACAGAGGATTTTCATGAAACTGCCATCACTGTAAATCTGTGCGCACCGGGTCTTTCATGGCAGTGGTAACCTAATGTGTGTAAGTGGAGTGTGTGCAGTCTGTGGGCAGGCACATCTGCTTCATGTACATGTACCTCATGTGAGTTGAGCTTGTTCAGGGTGGACAAACAGGTTCGTGCAGCTGTGATTCTCCTTAGTTGGCCCCCAAGGAAAACCTGCAATTTGGTATATTGTTATCTTTAAAAAAAAGTGTGTGTGTGTGTGTGTGTGTGTGTGTGTGTGTGTGTGTGTGTGTGTGTGTGTGTGTGTGTGTGTGTGTCTTAACCTTGTGGATGTAGTGTGTGCCATAGGTTTTTATCAGTCTGTCATACTGATCGCTGGTGGAGGAATTGTAGTGACTTGGCAGATTGTCCACATCCCTCTTGAACTCTGGGCTTAAAGGTGGTCTGCTTGCTACACGGAAACTAGACACAAAGAGACTAATTAGGTACTTATCTTAACTGAAACAAACTAGCTGACAGGAACTTATTTTCAGAGCCTACCTATAATATTTGCAGGTGATGCCATGTACACTGAAGGTGTACCGATCCTCTTCAGCCCTGGCTACAGCAAATTTAAATGCTTCGGAACGTGTTCCTCCCACAAACAAGCGATCACCCAGAACTATATTCAAATTTAGGCCATCGTGATCAAGCATAGCCTGCATTACATACATTATAAGTTACATCAATTAGGGGAACGTAACATAATCACTTCTTTTTTTTCTAGGTTCCTTTGTTCAGATGCTGTATCTCATTTGTCATGGATTCCTGATCACATTATTAAAAGAAAAGTATATTTTTCATTTAACAACAGATACGTTTTAGCATTGGGTGAAATTAAATATATTGAGATATGAATTATTTAAGATTTCATGTTTTCTTTAGTGCTGTGTTTTATTATTTAATTGACTAAAGTATTAATTGTATGTCAATAATAGGTGTAATATGTTTCATACCTTCATCACTGAGCTGTGGATACAATGCAAAGGAAGGGATCTCTGTTAAATTTCACTACTGATTTCTTCAAACAGTTCAAACTATTCACAAATCAACAGAGGATGTTAATGGGACATTTAGCTTTTACACTTTATTAAAGATATTAAAGACAAATTAGGATCCAGAAGAATATTGTTACATTATTTTATTTGTCCATGGCAAATTTGATGCCAGCTTTTATGGTGAGGCACAAGTCTGTGTTACAAAAAAGACACGAAGGCTGTTAGTCTTTTAGTAATTATAACATGTTATAATACTATACCCAACATTGTCGTGTACACTGCTGTCAACCGGAGTGCTGCACTGGCTGAATGCACGCCAGTCCACTACAGAGACTGGCACCTGAAAATAGAAGACAGAATACCATGATTAATAAGTACATGCTATGTGTAAGCCATGTTTAACTCACTGCACAGAATTATTTATTTTACTTTCTGCAGCCTGTTGCCTTGAAGGGGGTTGGTACAGAGAGTACAGTCGCCATCTGGAGTCATGTAGGTCCTCACATCAACCACATAGGCTCCTTTTCGTCTCAAGGTGACCAAGTCGAATCCCTCCCCCACCAGGTTGTGACCTGGTACAAAGGGAGCAGACTCGCACTCGCTGTTGTTCCCAGTTTGACAGGAGAGAACAGGGGAGATGTATGACAGAAGGAGGATCAGGCAGAGAGGAGGTGGGGTTGAAAAAAAGAGCATGGCTGCAGTCACAGACTGAAAGGTGGGAGAGAGAAGGATTTTCATTTAGCTCCATATTTTCTTTTAGACAGCAACACATATTTCGTAACTTTAGTTTTGTACCCAAAAATGCATAGCTATGAAATATACTAAAGTTGAAATTTGTGGGATTATTTTTCTGATAAAACATCTTTGGGTTGAATTAGAGCAGATACTGCAAGTCAGTGTCTGACAAATGCATTTCTGGAAGATTGGATATAAATTACCATAAAAGCACTTCAAACATGGTGGAAAGTCTTCCTAGAAGAGTTGAAGCTGTTATAGATGAAAAAGGGTGTGCTGAAACCAAACTAAGCTTAAGCTCAATTTAAACATATTATCCTGTATATGAAAAAATCTTTTAATCTTTTCACTGTATTTGTAACAATAGTTCAAATCCATTTCCAAAACAGCTGGGAAGCTGTGTACAATTTAATGAAAGCAGAGTGAATACCATTTAAACTCTATGCTTAACTGAAAATAGTAAATGTACCATATTTAAAAGACTGAGAAATGTTTTATGTAAAAAAAAAAATAGAAAATTGATTTTCATGCCAGAAACACGTGTTAAAAAATTATGGACAGCACATGCAGCATTGTGTTGCATCACCTCATCTTTCAATAACACTCTTTGTTTTTGGGTTTTGAAATCCAAATATTTTTTGTTCACTAGTTGGTTTTGTCATATTTTCTGAAAGGGTTTCTGCTGCCAGATAGTTTGGCATCTCCTCAGCCATTTTTTGCATTGCTTTGGGTGATAAGTCGGGACTCCTGGCAGGTCCATTTGAAACCCTGAGTCTTTCACTAAGAGTCACGCTGTTGTAATCGGTTCAGACTGTTCTCAGCTAAAGCTACAGATAACAACATTTTATCTGTTGTGAGACTAACATTGCATGCCAGAACAAAAACACTTTGCCCAAAGACATGGAGCCAGGTCAGGCCAAGTTGGCATATGATTGGCTGAGAGGTAAATTTGCAGTGCTGGCCGGCAGATCAAGTGTGATAGACTCGGCTGAGTGTGGAGCGAAGGATTTGCCTGAGGAGTGATCCACTGGACTACTGGCAGTGGATCCAACAACCCACCACCAAACCTGAAGCGCACCCAAATTCCAGATCCAGCTCGTTAGCAGTTCTACTGGAAGGCAAAAATCCCTTTATTTTGTTAATATCCTTCCACTTGCCAGAGAACCACTCAGAATGAGGTTATGTGTGCTAATAAATAACTTAAATAAATGTAATTAGTACTCACGTTCTCATGAACTGGCAAGCTGTTATGAAAAACGCATCCAAATGCAAAGTGAAATTCTGTTTGTGAACTGCAGCAGCGGCAGAATTTAAAGTCTGCCACAGGTGTTAAAGTCCAACAGCAGCATTCAAATTAACGCTTGCGTCACTCAGGATATTTACTTTCATTGAATTTTTTTAAAGTGATTTTTGCTGTCTCAAAGTTGTTTCCTCTCAGATACTTCAATTTAAAGAAAAAGTGAATTGCAGGTCGATGAACAGTGAACATCTTAAGACTAAAAAAGTCCTTGCACTGTGTGTGTGTGTGTGTGTGTGTGTGCGCGTGTCACACTGGCTCTATCATTTGCACTAGTTAATTGGTCTTTCATTTAAGTTTTCTTTTCAAAATGGCCACCAGTAATCATCATAATAATGATTTTTTTTTTTATGTGAATAAACTTGTAATGTGAAAAAACATATTAATTAACTAAAATAAAAATAAGAACTAGACTAGACTTTTGACATTTCTGAAAATGTAATTAACTGAAACAATTTTGTAAGATTGGAGAACTAAAAAAGCAAAATAAAATAAAAAATAAATATAGGGAATATTTTTAGTTTTACCATGTGTTAGTTTGGTAAGGATTTAATCACAACTTGCCTAATGAGGCTTTAAATGTGTTCATTGAGACTTTAGATAAAAGACTGCAGTCAACTGTTTTCAAGACGTAATGGCTGTACTGAACTCTTCATCCAATAATAAAACTAATAATAAATAATAAATGATAAAGAACAAAATAAACACAGAAACTAATAAAGTAAAACAAAAACATTTCAAACAATAAAAACTAAACTGAAACAAGAAAATCCACTTTGGAAACGACCTAAAACTAAACTGACTTAAAAGCAGAGTTAAGTCAGAATGACGTTTTACACAATCTAATTAGTAAATACAAAACTTTTTAACTCTGTATTTAACATTTCCAAGGAATTCAGTTACAATAGTTGATACAATATTTTGCATTATTGATACAATTTATAATCCTATTTACCTTTTACAGTTTTTTACAGTCGCTAACAAGCGTTTGTCCAAACAGTTGTCACATTTGCAAAACTCTAAACACAATTAGCACAGGATCGGTCTGTTGTGGCCATACCATTCACACATTTCATGTCGTGTTCACCCAATATGCAGTCAGTGAACACATTTCCACAATGCTTACATTTTCTTAACAGACAAGTTATACCTCCCAACAAAACTATGGACTGTTCTTGTAGTATCTACGAATGTTAACACACAACATCCCACAATAGCAAAAACAATATTCCAAACCGTAGATACAGTATAAAAACCTCTGCCCCTGCAATGATATCAGTACAAAAACAATATCAATATCAAAAATATATCTCAGCTGTAAACAAACAAACAATTGAATAATTGACACACAGCTGATTTATGTTGGGTAAATTGGGCCAACCACACCTTCTTCCATTCTGGCTTAGACTCAGTGGGGTTCATAAGGCAAGACCTTGAGGAGTGATGTTTTTGGAAACAAAAAAAAGACAAACACTGTAATGTCTGGTCGAGGAGGAGTAAGAGCAAGGGGCCCAGAGAGAAGAGCAGGCCCAAGGAGAGGGCAAGGTATAGGTGTAAGAATGCGTGGTGGTGGCATTCCAAGGGCTGCAAGAACAGTAGTCAGTGATGAAATCCGTGCCACTATCATTGACCATGTAATCAACCATGGTCTTTCACTAAGAGAGGCTGGTGAAAGAGTGCAGCCCAATTTGAGGCGGTCAACGGTTGCCTCCATTATACGCACCTTTCAACAAACCAACAGGTAAGTATTGCATTTTACATGGATTGTTCCTATTCTCACTTGACATGTCAATATGGTCATACAGTAATGCATATGTTGAATTGTCTGTCTTTCTAAAGAATGCAACGTCTTCCACCCTCTGGGGGAAGAGGAAAGCTCCTCAGTAATGATCAGGAGCTTGCCATTGTGGAAATGGTTACTGCAAATAATGCAATAAAACTGCGTGAAATACAAACCAGAATTGTGGCGGACCATGAGATATTCGACAATATCGATAGAATCAGCCTCACAACCATTTCGCGGACATTGTCCAAACATAGAGTGCGGATGAAGCAGCTCTACACTGTTCCCTTTGAGAGGAACAGTGAGAGGGTCAAGGAGCTACGACGACAATATGTCCAGGTACAGTGTATATTCAATCCAATGTCCAGTTCTATAAGCTTTGCACTTTGCAAGTAGGTAACCTACACAATACTAGGTTACAGTACAGTATGGTATACAGTACTAACATGACTTACATAAACTTTGTTTCAGAGAGTTATGGAATTGGAGGCCAACCAGGCCCCTCATGAATTCATATACATCGATGAGGCAGGATTCAATCTGGCCAAAAGGCGTCGACGTGGACGGAATGTGATTGGTAAAAGGGCCACAGTTGATGTGCCAGGACAGAGAGGGGCAAACATTACCATGTGTGCAGCAATTGCAAATGCAGGATTACTCCTTCACAAATGTCAGGTTGGACCCTATAATACAGAGCGCTTGCTTGCCTTTCTCAATGATCTCCACCAGCGCCTGGTTCCAGAGCAGGGTCAGGAGGGTGAAAACATGAGGACCTTTGTAATTACCTGGGACAATGTGGCTTTCCATCACTCGCAAGCAATAACAACATGGTTTGAAGTCCACCCAAGACTGGTGAGTCTCTTCCTTCCACCCTATTCACCTTTCCTCAACCCCATAGAGGAGTTCTTTTCTGCATGGCGGTGGAAGGTTTATGACCATCAGCCACATGACCAGATGTCCCTCCTTGAAGCCATGGATGCTGGCTCCAGGGACATCACAGTTGACGATTGCCAAGGGTGGATCCGACATACCAGGCGGTTTTATCCCAGGTGCATCGACTTGGCTGACATCAGATGTGATGTTGATGAAAACATGTGGCCTAACCCTGAAGATCGCAGAGATTAGATGCAACTTTTTTGCCTTTTTTTAGCCCCCCTCCCCCCCTTTTTATCTTGGCTTTTTGCTGTTGTTTTTTTGTTCAGAATGCTCTTGTGTGTTCCATGGATATTTTGTTCACTGTAAGCAATACTGTGACACTTTCTCTGTCCTATCATACCGTGTTTCTACTGTACCTCCTGTAGTAAACAGTAAAGACACAGAAACTTGTTTGCTTTTTACTGGAATGCTTTTGAATGTGAACATTACTGTACATGTGGACATGCAGTTACCAACCAAGACATTTCTGGTGTCAAAATGGTGGATTGCATGTTTCGCATGCACATACCTGTAAAACTGAAACATAAAAGTCTATGCAGTTTTTGTAATGTCAATAATAGCCAGTATTTTGACACCTGGTGTACTTTGATTGACTGCATGTACCTTGTGAAGTGAAGACAAGTGTTATTCTTTGACAGACTAATTTCATTTTGAGTCAGATTTATAGTGTTTTTGTACAGTTAGTGTGTGCAGAGAAAGATGTGTTCTAATTTTGAAATGAGGAGTTAGTATATATTTAACAGAGTGTATTTTTGGGAAGGATATTATCCATTTGGCCAATTGTGTTTTGTAGGTGTGGGTCTGTGTTAAGAGTTTAGAAAAAGTATCTGAAGTATGGGTAGGCGCTTGTTAGCGACTGTAAAAAACTGTAATACCCACCCAGTCTCTGACAACATATTTAGGGTAGAGTGACTGTATTGTACCAATTTATTATCACGCATGAACCATTGTGTGATCCAGTTTATATTACAGTGCTATGAATCAAAAGTAAGGAGAAATGACTCAACTTTCATCAGATGTGATGTAACAGTTGATAGTTGCTAAACTGAGATGCTTGTGACTTTTTCAGTGTAAAAACCAGGATGAGTTTCACAGCACTGGTTTCTTCTCCTGTTTCAGTGTCAGGCTGTAGATGGGGCTTAAGTTTACAGACAGCTGAATAGAACATGTCCTCAAAACCTTGGGGTGAAAACTGGTGTTGTGCAAAACATCCTGTCTGGTTCCTGTACCACAGTTACCATCAGAACTTTATTGACCTGTTTCCCTAACATCACTGTGATGATGGTACTGGAGAAAATAGTCTCAGCCTGCTGAAGACCACAGGTGAAAACATCCGTGCAATTCACAGACGTGCCAAATCTGAAAGTGGATGACTGGACCATTTACATGCATTTACATCCCCCTCTATTTATATTTATATTCTAACTCTGTAACATGGAACTTCTCTCGATATTCTGCAACTGGAATTTCCTGGAGGAACCCATCCGAGGGATTAAACTGTTAGCAGTCGGACGTACCGCCCACGGGACATTGGATGGTTTAGGGGACTAATAGGACTGCTAAGGGGTTAATAAAGTTCTATAGAATCTAATCTAATCTAATCTAATCTAATCTAATCTAGAGGCCTTAATTCCCCCTTGATAGCAATACCTACACATTAAGGATCACTTTCTTTGATTTCTCAAGTGTATTTAACACAATTCAATTCAATTCAATTTTATTTATATAGCACCAAATCACAACAGCAGTCACCTCAAGGCGGTTTATATTGTGCAGTAGATCGTACAATAATAGATACAGAGAAAAACCCAACGATCATGTGACCCCCTATGAGCAAGAAATTCAGCTTCTGCTTGTCAGAGAGAAGCTACAGGAAATGTGTAGGAAAAATGTAAACCCTCCACCTACATGCAGAGGACAAAAACAAAAAATGCAGATTTAGGACATTTTCAGTGGTTTCATGTTTCAGACCTGAAATCCATGTCCATCTTTTATATACAGTCTGATAAAACAAACCAAATCAGCCTCTAAACTGCTTGGCCTGTATAGAATAGTTTTTGATGGCCAAATTAGTTAGAAAAATACTATCTTTGGACCTTACCTTGGATTTTATGCTATGCTAATTAAAAGTAGTAAAGAAGATAACACATTGTAATGCATACTTAACCCTGGAGAACCCATGGGGTCAAATTTGACCCCATGGTTTCCCTAGTAAACCAGTGGGGTCGGCTCTGACCCCATGGGTTCTCCAGGGTTAAACATGTAAAAGAAACCGTTATATTTTGTTATTTTCACTGCAGGAAACAGCTCATGAAAGAGGTCAGGCCTGTTTATAAACAGCTGATTCTGAGAATGGGAAACATATAAAGGCAACTGGGAGGAATCCAAGGACACTGCGTACGAGAAGTGACAGGAGATGGGGTGAAACAAGGGGAAATAAACAGGGCAAAGATAGCAATGGTAAAAACATCTGCCTTAGGAGAACACAGACTTTAGATTAAATATTTACAAACTGCAGAACCAACAGTAAATATTTGTGGGTAAATAAACACACACACACACACATTTGAAGAGTCAACCCACAGGTAACATTTAAATCTTTCTGGAGTTTGAGTAGAGAATACTATGAGACCTAACATGACAGACAAAATATAAAAAACAAACATTATATTGTACTGAAGGAGACTTTAAACTAGTAATTGAGACACATCAACAATAAGGTTCCTTACCGTGGTCACTATTCAAGTGGTCATTTTCTCATAGATCCTCTTTATAGCACGAGGCTTTGACCACTGAAAGCCTTTCATCTGTCCTTTACCATCCATTTCATTTTGTACAATCCACTCTTCCAAGTTTGTGTGGTTTATCCATCTGACCAGGTGCATCTTCGTGCACAATCTTTTTAATTTATCACCACACTGTGTTTATGTGATGAAAGAGAAATTATTTCCTTATTAAAACCGATTCTGAAATACGATTTCACTAATAACCGTGGCAGTTTGTCTTGAAAGAACAAGTGTAATCTCCACATTTTGACTTTTATGTCAAAATTTTGAGTCTATTTTCAAAATGGTCAATAATATTTTTTTTTCTTAAATTGTACCCTGAGCTGAATTTGTGGTTATATTAACAAAATTTCTGGGTGGTGTAGAGGTTTGTGCTTTATTTTGGGGAAATACTTATATTGTTATACATCTTAGTGTCATATTAGTCTAATCTTTAGCACTAAATAGCTTTTATGTGTGCCTGTTGCACTGACACCGTTTATGAAGACAGCTTGTGAATCAAGGTAACTAGAATGAGCTGCTAAATTAGCACTCCATCATGTTGTCCAAGTATGCAAACTTCTGGCTCCAAAACACTAACATGACCAAAACGACACAGCTTATGCTTCAAACTGCATAGCATGAATCAAATTAGTGTTTTGTTGGAATTGATTTCTTTTACTCTATTTGTGCATTGTGCAGGGTGTGCAGCAGAATACACACTCGTGTGCAGACTGGAGTCAGGGTGCCCTGGAAAAGTACTCGAGGCTGTAAACTCTGGTGTGTGTGTAGGGAGGGGTTTTCTCTCCATCTCTCCACAGGGAGATGCCCACTGCAGGAGATGTATGATGAGCGAGAGCCAGACCAAATCCCAAATAAGGGAAAAGCCAAGTATAAACCACAGCTACACCCCAACTTTTTAACCAATCATATTAATATTCTGTTTGTGTGACTCATGATAAAAGTGTTTACTGCTTGGGTGCAGTGACCTTTGTCCGTTTGGCTCACTAAACAGAGGAAGAGACACAGCAGCCATCTTAATTTGAACCTTTACCCGCCTAATAAATTTCGAAAACTTTTACTTTGACTTTACTCATCTTCTCTCAAAATAAAAGGACCCCACAGTTTTCTCTGTGGTTACTTACATATATTCTTTTATAATGTGATCTACAGGAGTTTTTCTCTGCTGGCGTTTAGAAAGAACACAGCAGTCGATAGTATCAATACCAATGCAGGTATTGGTATCGGATCAATAATAGCAACGTACGATCAATACTTTATTTCTATCCTCCAAGTTCAGTCTGTAGCCCACTGAATGAAAACACACTATGAAAACTGTCTGAACCTTTTTGTGTTGACTGTCGCATGTTAATAGTCTTTTGCACATTTAAACAACAGAAATGGGTCAATTTCTGACTTTCAGGCATATTTACACGCCAGATCTCCAAAAAGGTGTTTTTTGTCGTGTTAACTAATTTAAGTGTAATGTAAAAATCCCAGTGAGTTAGGGATCATTAAAATATGTTCAGATATTGCAAAATAATTATGATTAATTTAATAAGTCATGACACACTCCATAATCTCCCCAACAAAGCTGCCCTTCTTATGTTAAAAGTATGTGTATATGTGCACATGTGTACTGGCATCAGCAGTCCTGGGACTGTATTTGATATCAGATCAATACCAAAACTTGCTGTATCTCACAGCACTATAATGCATATGGTTTGAGGAACTTCCACACAGCCTTTATAACATTTTCTATAAGAGAAACGTTTTTTGTCCAGATGTGATGGTGTCAAATGGCCCAATCATGATTAGCATGATTATTTATAAAAATTCAGATTAAAGATTTAGACATTAATTTTATGTACATGCCTCGTAGTGAAGTCGACACGCATGCTTAAGCAATAATTGACCAATAAAAACTTTTGATTTGTTATTTTCACTGCAGAAAACAGCTTGTGAAAGAGGTCAGGTGTGTTTACAAACAGAGCTGATTCTCAGAATGGGAAACACATAAAAGCACTGGGAGGAATCCAAGACAACTTACGTATGAAAAGTGAAAGGAGATAGTGGTGAAATGTTGAAAACATTTGCCAAGGGAGAACCAGGGCTTTACAGGCAAGACGTCTAGAGACTACAGAACCACCAGTACATGTCTGTGGGTACATTAAAAAGATACATTTAAAGATATGACTAAATTGCAACACTAAGGTTTATGTAGAACAGACTTGGGCACTGAACGAGGTCAAACATATGTGTGGTGTTAACCACTACACCAATCAATGGTTGACACCAAACAGTTTTTCATTTCTATAAATCAACTTGAAAACAAACCTAACATCCCAGAAATTAATGTCTATTACTGTGCTTTATGACAGCCTAAATATGAGTATTTGACAGCAGCTTTTACAGATTTTAATTACATGAGTTTTATGCGGTTTGTTTTTTCCATTTGTTCTTTAATATTTTTCATATGGAACCTTTTTTCCCCTATAGATGTCCTTTGTTGGGATGAGAAGCAAGAAGTAGTTTTCCTTTAATGCGCTGCATTGCTCACATGTTTGAAAGGTCTTTATTTTTATAGGCTATGAAAAAGAAAAGCCTCGCATACAAAAACTAAGGATCTATACACACCTGTTTTGAAGACCCAACACATAACACCAGATCAGAGGTTTAAAACCGATATACAATCTACACTTTAGTCACTTCCTGTCTCTTCCTAAAGAGTTTCTAAACTGGAAACGCTTGAAGGTGGCTAAATCATGGAAATAACAAAAACCAGACTTACAAAAGGAGATTTTATTTTTGCCTCAATGACACAACAGTGTTAACAGTTCATCTGAACATTGATGGTTTTAAAAGCTGTGGAGATTATTGTTAAAACCTGCAAGCTTTCAGCGGTGCCATCAAGGCATATCCAAAGGCCAGAAATCATGCGTTTTCAGAGTGGATTGTGTAAAGAAATAATTCCATTTTTTGAATAATGGAAAACACAAAGATTAACTCTAGTAAACTCAGAACAACAGTGCTTTCTCCATCTGCAGGGATGCTGCTAATATTAGAAAGTATTTGAACCTATTTTCCAAAACAGTTAAGGAACT